ACTGTTGCCCCCCCCAAGCACCAAGAATACAGAGCATCACTTGCCCCAGACCGAGAGGTCCTCTCCATTCCTTGTGGCTAATAGCCACCGATGGACCTCTGCTCCATATGCTTATCTAATTCCCTCTTGTAAGAACATAAGAGAAGCCAATGCTGGATCAGGCCAATGGCCCATCCAGTCCAACAACCCGAGGAAGAAGAAGAAGATTGGATTTATACCCTGCCCTTCGCTACCCAGAGGAGTCTCAGAGCGGCTTACGATCTCCTTCCCCTTCCCCTCCCCACAACAGACACCCTGGGAGGTAGGTGGGGCTGAGAGAGCTCTTTTTGAGGACTGCCTTGAGAGAACAGCTCTGAGAGAACTTGTGACTGACCCAAAGTCACACCAGCAGCTGTCTGCGGAAGAGCAGGGAATCAAACCCGGTTCTCCCAGATGAGAGTCCGCTCTCCTAACCACGACACCAAACTGGCTCTCTCCGTCTGTGTGTTTCTCCACTGCAGGAAGTGATTGAGGAAGAGCCACTGGGGTCAGTGTGCTTCACGATCCTCCACCAAGCCACGACTACTGTCTGCTGCCTGACATATGTACCGGAGCTTTGCTTCTCCTTAGCTCTCCTGGTCGGGCTGCTCATGGGTTGCCAAACCACAATCACCCCCAACTTCACCCCCCAAAAGGGTTGCCAGGTCCAAAAGGCAAGCCAGCGAGGGGAGTTACCAGGATGTTCCAGGAGAGGGGAGGGACAAAGCATACCTTGCCTATGTCACCTTCCCTCTTCCCTCCCCTCGCCTCTGGGTGACGTAGGCATGTCAGTGACATCAGGGGGCGACGCTCTGGTTTTTGGGCAACACTCTATGGTCTGACGCTAGTTCATAGAGTTTTGCCCCCCAAAAAACCAGAACGTTGCTCCACGATGTCACCGATGTGCTTGCGTCACTTCCGGGTGCTGTAGGGATGTCACGTTTGGGGCAGTGACTCTCCCCTGCCGGCCGGGTGGCCAGCGCTGGGGGGAAGTGCTGGAAACCAAGGGGGATCCCCCGTGCACCGGCACGACCGGGCAACCCCAACCCCCAAAGTCTTTCTGAAGCCGGAGTTCGCAATCCTTTCTACACTTCCTTGGAATATTCAAGAGTCAGTTCTCTAGATAAGGGCCGTACTGCCTGTGATATTTAATAGTAGTTTGAATACTGAATATTAACATAAGAACATAAGAGAACACAAGAGGAGCCAATGTTGGATCAGGCCAATGGCCCATCCAGTCCAACACTCTGTGTCACACAGTGGCCAAAAATACCAGGTTCCATCGGGAGGTCCAGCAGTGGGGCCAGGACACTAGAAGCCCTCCCACTGTTGCCCCCCCAAGCACCAAGAAGACAGAGCATCCCTTGCCCCAGACAGAGAGTTCCTCTCTATTATTTGTGGCTAATAGCCACCGATGGACCTCTGCTCCATATGCTTATCCAATTCCCTCTTATAAGAACATAAGAGAAGCCAATGTTGGATCAGGCCAATGGCCCATCCAGTCCAACACTCTGTGTCACACAGTGGCCAGAAATACCAGGGGCCCTCAGGAGGTCCAGCAGTGGGGCCAGGACACTAGAAGCCCTCCCACTGCTGCCCCCCCCCAGCACCAAGAATACAGAGCATCCCTTGCCCCAGACTGAGAGTTCCTCTCTATACCTTGTGGCTGATAGCCACTGATGGACCTCTGCTCCAAATGTTTATCTAATTCCCGCTTATAAGAACATAAGAGAAGCCAATGTTGGATCAGGCCAATGGCCCATCCAGTCCAACACTCTGTCACACAGTGGCCAAAAATACCAGGGGCCATCAGGAGGTCCAGTAGTGTGGCCAGGACACTAGAAGCCCCCCCACTGTTGCCCCCCCCCCAGTACCCCCCACCCAACACACACAAGA